TATTAATTCATTGACTGTACTTAAATGTTCTTCATATACAACTTTCCTATGCCATTTTGGGTTGGGAGAAATAGTCAAAGGTGTATTTGGAACGTAGAAACAGGAGTAGACCATTCAGCCCCTTGAGCCTGTTCCACCATTCAATGAGATCATGGCTGATCTGTCCTCTAACTCCAAATATCTGCCTTTGGCTCATAGCCCTTAACACCTTTGATTAACAAAACAAAATCTCAGATTTAAAATTAACAATTTATGATAGAGGTAAAAATCCCCCATTCCTGATATAACAACAGTCTGTCCCTTTGAAGGACAGTTACTTCCCAGCATTAAGCAACCAATGTTAAAATATTTGGTGAACTTATTGAACATAAAAAGTGTGGAACAGAATGAAACCATTTAGCTGAATGTATCACACCAACACAGTTCCTCGAGGTAACCAACCCGGCAAGATAAAAAAAAGCTTTATCAAAGGTGGCTCATTAAGCTGGTAAGTGTTGCAGAAGGTAGAGTTATGAACCACAAATCTTGGAGTCCATTTCCTATCATCCACATACATCACAGTATGGATATTGTAAACAGCTACAACCTTAATTTTTACAGTTTTTATTGAGAACTTCTGAGCAGCAGAACTGAATTAGTGGTCTTGCCACCTTGAGGGTTTGTGAATGGTGATAGTTTTCTTAAAGATTTTGTGGTTAAAACTATCTCAGGATGGACTAGAAAAGTATGTATTTAAACAGATGCATGACAAAGTTTGACTTCTATGGTTTCCCTTGAAAACAATAATGACCAAAAATTTGGATCAATTACAGATTTGAAAACAACAATCACAGTGTGAAGAACAATAAATAATTAAATTTATTAACTATTTGTGTAGTCATAAACTGGTTTTTAATTTAAGATTTCTTGAACAACACAGGCATTCTTAGCAATATACCTATTTAATTATTGTATGCAGGTGATTCAACAGTCATCACTATATTTAAATAAATATATTATGATCTCCACTCTATATGTGTGGCTACAACTAATTTTCCATGTTACATATTAATTGTACAAAAATGTACAAACTGTAAGTGATCAAAAATCCCAACATCACGTCACATCAATTGGTGGATGTGTTTTTAGCAATTCCAATAGCCACCCTGGTAAATATGGTTCACATCTAACAAATTTCACTTTGGCATGAAACCATGCAATTTGTGAAAGGGGGTTAGAGAATCAGTCTCAGTGGGTGTGAAATTTATTTCTGGGCATGGGATCTGCAAAGTGTGGTGTGCAAACACATGTTCTGATGGAAATGGGTAAGACATCAAATTTACCTGCACGCCTCATCTGAATGAGTGCCTGGTGCCTCCAACATTGGTCTTTTCATCTGTACACTGCCAGTCAGCTCTTCACATACCTCGCTACACAACTTGTTACACTGGCAGCATGCTTGTTCTTAAAGTTCAACTGCCTTTTGAAGGAATGATAGGGAATAAGACCGCCACAATGGAAATTCTACACATAGACCACAAGGGCACATGGAATGATTGAAAGTTGCACGATGTTACACTGGAGACATTAAAGGCTATGGGTAGTGGGGAGAGAGCTTTAAGAAGACTTTCCAGTGAAGGAATGGAAGCAGCCAGTGAACAATCTGAACTCGTGGAGTCTGAACTGAAGGGCCTTACAGCAGTACCACAAGAACTCGAGACAGGGAGTACATATGACATCCCCTATCCACCACAACATCAATGTCTCATACTCTTTACTACACAACACCCCATTGACTCACTCAGAAACACACCCCAGCCTTCAGGAATCACATCTACCATCAAGAAAGTCTACCCATAAATGCTGTCAGCCTCATATCTACCTGTCACTAACTCCACAGATACTTACCTATGGTGGGTACATCACCCAAATACACTCATAGAATCCCTACAGTGTGGAAAGAGGCTATTCATCCCATTGAGCTACATCAACCTGCTGAAGGGCATCCCACCCAGATCCATTCCCCCCATGTTATGGCTAATCCACCTAACCTGCACATCCCTGGATACTATGGGGCAATTTAGCAGGCTAATCCACCTAACCTGCACAGCTTTGTGGCAGGAAACTGGAGCAACCAGAGGAAACCCCCACAGACATGGGGAGAATGTGCAAACTCCACACAGACAGTTGCTTGAGGGTAGAATCGAACCCGGGTCCCAAGTGCTGTGAGGCAGCAGTGCTAGTCACTGAGCCACTGTGCTGCATTCTTACACAGCCAGTGACATACTGTCTTTTCTTTTGCAGTAGATGGTGGCACACAATAGGAGGAAGCAAACCTCATGACCAACCAATCAGATATCCAGTTTGTAGTCCTGTCACATCCAGTAATGATCTTGGATGATTAAACAATGAACCCTAAGAGGCAGCTCCACAAATATTACCATCTTTCTTAATGGGGGATCCCAGCACACTAATGTAACAGCCAAGACCAAAATATTGCCAACTACCTTCAACTCGAAGTTTTGATTTCCTCCTCCTGATGTGCCCAACATTACAGATGCCAATCGTTAACCAATTCGATTTATGCCATGTGATATCAAGAAACAGCTGAAAGCACTAGATACAGGAAACGCTAAGGGCCCTGATAACATTTCAGCAATATTATAGAAAACTTGTGGTCCAGAACCAGCCACACCCAGAGCTAAGCTGTTCCAGTATAGCTACAACACTGGAATCTGTCCAAAAATGTGGATGATTTCTCAGATATGAGCAATGCACAATAAAAAGACAAATCCAACCTGGTGAATTAATGCACGATCAGTCTACTCTCAATCATCAGAAAATATTTAGAAGGTATCATTGACTGAGCTATTCAGCAATATCCTGCTCACTGACTCTCAGTTTGGGTTCTGCAAAGTCCTCTCAGCTCCTGACTTCATCACAGCCTAGGTCTAATATGGACTAAAGAGCTGAATTCCCGAGGAGAAGTGCGAGTGACTAGCCTAGACATCGAGGGTCATGTTTGACTGACTATGGCATCAAGGACTATAGTAAAATTAAAGTTGATAGAAATCAGTGGAAAACTCTCCACTGGTTGGAGTCATACCTAACACAAAGAATTTTTGTGAAGGTTGTTGAATGTCAATCGTCTCAGTTCCAGGATATCACAGCTGTGTTCCTCAAGGTATTGCTCTAGGTCCAACTGTTCCCATGTGTTTCATTTCTCCATAATGTCAGAAGTGGGGATGTTTGGCAATGATTGCACAATATTCAGCACCATTCATGTCTCCTCAGACACTCCCAAAACAACTTAAGCCCTTATGCAGTGAGACCCGGACAACCTTGAGGCTTGAGCTGATTAGAGTCAAGTAACATTCGCAACATACAAGGGCCAGGCAATGATCATCTTCAACCAGAGAGAATCTATCCATTGTTTCTTGACAATTAATGTCTTAATCATTGCTGAATCTTTCTGTAACAAAACCCTGCCAGTTACTATTGATCAGAAACTGAACTGGAGTAACCATATAAATACAGTGGCTAAAAGAGAAGGTCACACACTTGGAATTCTGCAGTGAATAATCTGCCACTGACTCCCTAAAACCTGCTTAACATCCACAAGGCATATGTCAGGAGCATCATGACATACTCTCCACTTGTTTGGCTTGCTGCAGTTTCAATAGGAAGCAGGAAGCTCAACACCAGCAAGGCTGAAGCAAGCCCATTTGACTGGCACCACATCATCTCCATTAGTAATGCAGCGTGGAATCAGTGTGTACCATCCACAAGGTACATTACAGCAACTCACTAGGGCTCCTTAGTCAGTATGCTCCAAACCTGCAACTTCTTGGATCTAGAAGTACAAGGGCAGCATTAACTCTAAGTTCTCCCCTCATTCCAGTTCCCTACTTGGGGCTATATCAAAATCTCCTCACTATTTTTGGGTCAAAGCCCTGGCTCTCTCCTCCTAACAACATTATAGGCTGTAGCTAGATCACATGGACTGCAACATTTCAAGAAGACAGCTCAACATCACCTCCTCAAACACAACAATTGCTGACCTAGCCAGTGGCACCTACAACCTGTGAAGAACAATAAAAAGAAAGCAGAGCCAGTAGAGGACAAGGATGCCTGTGTCTCCTGGTCCCGAGAGAGAAGATAGTTTTCTGCTTGATGGGACAGGCTGTAATTGGCCTTGCAGCATTTAATGCTATTGAGGTAAATGAAGACGATGGCAGCTTCCTGCCTTATGGTCCTTCATTTAATTATTCTGGCATGATGAGCAGGTGCCAGGTGGTATCACCATGAAACTCTTACTTTCCTCCTGAAGCTTTGTCTCATAAAAACCTTCCCCTTCTAATTTCTTGTTTTCAGTTTGTCCATTAATTATCTTCAACAATAGCAGCTGAAAGTTTTCATGATTCCACTTGTAAAGGCTCTCAGGTCATTGCAGTTTCATTGTATTTAACAGCAGTAGCTTTACTGTTCCGCCTTTGAGATGAGGTTTAATTCCTGGTTCTTGACTGTGCTTTTCTTACCTAGCACATTTGCTATCTGTAAAAGCAGATAGCTCATCTGGTGTAAGTGCTATCTCCAATTCAATTAATTAAGCATAGAATTAGAAAGATAAATTGTGTCAGCAGAACAATATCAGACACATACAGATCTGGAACAGCTTCGTGAACCTACAGCCAAACCTTATTAGGATAGGCTTATGAAGGTGAAGTACGTTTCTGCTCATCATTGATCATGTGACTCAGATTAAATCTCCTTTGTACATTATAGGGTTATTTGAAAATATGGTTGTAAGAAGATAATTTTTGCCAAACCTTCCAATATGATCTCAATTGAAAACTAATTTGACACAGGTACATGAAAAAAATTATAACACTTCAACTAAATGCTTCTGTTACATTCACTTAAAAAAAAGTTTGGTTTTTGTTTACTACTTGTAGCAATATGCATCACCTGCATCTTTTGTCATTATCATTACTTTCTGAATAAGATGAATCAATTTGATTTTCTTCCTTCTTTCGCATTTTCATAATTCTAATATTGGCCAATACGGAGATAATTTGATTCTGGAGAGGAATTGTCCCTCTGATGCTTTTGTTTCTTCACTGTCAAAAGAATGTCCTGTAAAAAGAGGAAAAAAAGTGTTTATTTACTTTAATTTTTTTATGCATTTCAAATGCATTTGCTTCCCTTTGACAGGTTTCCCTGGGCAATTTACCATGTCTCTCAGAATCTCAGAAGCTGGCCTGTTTCAGGGCCACATCCAATGCCACATTTTGACAACCATTTGAAACCAATTTCTATTTGAAACCATTTCCATTTGAAACCATAAATAGATTGGGATATGTATCTTTTCAACCCTTTGAAACTGGAGGTGCATGGGTTTTCAATTTTCATGCATTTTAACCTCTAACATAACCCCAAGTTACTCATTTCTCTTAAAATTAACCCCTTTAATCTGCACCAACATGCTGCCTGTAATTATCATTGATAGATGAGGTACCAATCAATATTAACATATAAACCTAAAATTTTAAAATTAATTCCAAAGTTACCAGTAGATCAGAGACAACAATTATCAATGAGGCCAAAAATGTTAAATTGTAACCAGTTAGAAATAATTTTTAGAGAATTAAATGCTTTACCTCAAACATGTTGCACACAAAGATTTGATATCAACAAAGGAACAGAATATTCTAATATTAGGGACTAGAATAGTTAGCTGATTGTTTTTGACTGGCGCAGTCTCAAAGGGTAGAAGGGACTTTTTTCTCTAACACTCTAAAATACACAGAGTTCTGGATTCTAAAGCAGACGCTTCAATTAACATTTGCAGCAAAAATAGGTGCAAGGATTGTGATGTGTGATTAACCCAATGCTGTTGTTTCCCACAAAGCCAAAATTAAATGTGCTGTAAGTGGCCAAGAGTTCAAGTTAGTTTACATAACCTAAAGCCCAGTGCTGGAAATCATTCCAGACGCTGGGTTAATCCAAGAAAGACACAGGAGTGGCCGAGAGTGGGCTCCAAGATTTACTAATAAAGCACTGTAGGCCTTGATGCTGCAGGAGGACATTGGGAGAGACTTAATCTTCTCTCAAGAACCTAGAAACTCACCAAGCAAACTTTGAGAAGGTGGTTGGATGAGATAGCTAAATAGCAAGTAAAAAGGTGAAGTCACCACAGTCCAATTGGAGCAAAGAGCTGCTCCCTAATTACAGAGAAACAACTGGTGGTGGTTTAACCTGAGGGTCACTACTCCTCAGGCAAGGTGAGAAGTTGAGGAGGAGGGTCCTCCAGCGGTAACGTCAACTAGTGCAGGAGTTGAACCCGTGCTGCATTGCGAACCAGCTGTCCGGCTAACTGAGCTTATCAACCCACAGAGCCAAGTAGCAGGTATATCTTAAGGATTGGGATAAGTGGCATAAGAACATTAATGATCTCATGCAAGTGGTCAGGGCTGGCAAATGCATCTTCAAATATCATATTCCACCACAACTATGAAGGAGAAAACAGAGTTAACGTTTTGGGTCCAGTGACCCTTTCAGGAAGGGTCACCGGACCCGAAATGTTAACTCCGTCTGCTCCTTCACAGATGCTGCCAGACCTGCTGAGCTTTTCCAGCAACTTTGTTTTTGTTCCTGATTTACAGCATCTGCAGTTCTTTTGGTTTTTATCATATTCTACCAACTGTGTCAGCAGCTCCACAGAGTACTCAATGCATCACACCCCCATCACTTACCTACTAACAATTGATACAAATCCCAAACCATTCTTCACATTCATCGTTTACCTCAACTTCACAAATTTAGCACTGCTGCAAGCCTCACACCTACAACACACAGCTTGCACACGTGGCCAACCATTCAATTACCTCAGGGATGCCATTCACAATAAATATACTGCATCACACTCACTGGTACATATCCGCTGTTCCTGCAGGACAACTGCACAGCTGCATATCCTCACCCAATCTAGGCCATGAAAGTGTTGATTCAGTCAGATTGATGACATTATGGCCCCCCTAATACAGGGCTGACTATTATCCTGGCAAATTCACATGCATACTGTGGTTAGCTCTCTGGAAAAATAAAACAGCAATACTTTTCCCTGTCTTTGCATCCAGAGTTTCAATCTCACACAACAGTGGACAGGGAATTGCAGAATATTGGAGAAGGCTCTTGCTGTAGCTTAGAAGAAGCACAGGACAAAGAAGCTCACGGTTGTAATCATCCTCACTACCATTGACAGTGTCATCTTTGCCCTGCTTTGAGGCTACAGATTTGCCTGGAGATGGGCAGCAAGATTGTTAGTGAAATGGAGGCACTGAACACATTGCTTCTCATAGATACAAGTTACAGAACTCATGATAGAGCAAGTGGTCTAAGCAGAATCTGGGAAGTCAGAACCAAGGGCTTCACCATGTCAGCTCATTCTCTTTAACATCACCAATTTGAAATGCCAGTACAAACCAGCCAATTCTTTGACAAACAGAACAACAACTATTAGAAATTAATGACTAACATGGGAGAGGTTAATGATCTCTTTAAATTGTGTTGGTGGAGTCTTTCCTTTTGCTACATGCACTTTTAGGTGAGCAATATTAAATGAGGGCATTGGTTTGATTGGTGCAGCAAAAAAATGGTGCTGCAAGAATCAAATCAGCATTGTAATGGATGGAAATCACAATCTGTCCACCTTGCACATTTCCAGTACTCCGGGAACTGGTAATCCTGATCTATTTGAAATGGATCCAGCAAGGCCCACATCTAGAGTGTGGGTGCATGGCATTTTGGGATGCAGTAGTATGTGCAGCATTAAAATTGTGTACACTATTGCAGCAAATTTTTCTGATCATTACTCCAGCACTGATAGAATAGCACATGCGATTTTTCAGTTCCACAGTTGAATGCAGCAACAATCGCCAGCTAATGTTAGGTTAGCTGTAACATCAGTGACGTGGGGCATGGAAAACATAACATGTGCACCTTTCTAAGAACAAATGATGCCAAACATCAGAACATCAGACCTACTGCAAACAAATTAACTACTTTACTTCACTGATGTCTCACTTTTTTCAAAGTCAATTATCGTCGATACACTATAAACAAGAAATTAAGTCTTTCTGTCCTTGACTTTAATGATAACGATCTTCTAATATCTGTAGTGGATGTCATAGGTGTCGACAGCAATGTCATCCTCTGTTGATTAAGAAGTCACTAAAGCCTTCCTCTCAGTCCTCTGCCACGCCTCCCCACATTTGTTTGAGCAACAGCAGATTTGCACTTAAATAATAATGATGTTCGACAACCTCTGCCAAAACCCGCATGATTCCTGAAGCCAAGGTGACAGATGTGCAAATTTTCATTGCTAATTTAGCGCCAAGCTTTGAAATTATCCACAATATAGGGCTCAATTCATGCAATGTGTTTGTTTGTTTACTCGCAGTGTTTATGATTTGCTTGCAATACCTATCCACACAATGGAATCAGTTGTTAATGTTCATTTGAGGTTTACAGATTTTTAGAAAGAACTTCTTCACCTGTGAGGTACAAGTATCAAAGTCAAGAACAGCACTTATTACCCATCTCTAGTAGCCCTAAAATGGTTGTGTCATCTTTATTTGGAATCACTGAGCAGTTTGCTTGGCCACTTTAGAGAGCAGCTAAGTGACAAATACAATGCATTGCCCACTGTGGTCCGTACCCTCCAAATCTCTCGCCAACCCAGGCTGTAGGACACTTTTCACTGGCTTCCTATACTAGAAAATAAAGGTACAGCCCTTGAAAAAATATCTTTTCATTTGAAGATCAGTAACATTGAAAAGAGAGAAAAGATTTTAAAGATGCATATAGATATCTGAATGGTAATTCACATAATACTGCATGCAGAGATGGAAATTAACCAACAATTAGCTGTAAATTTAGACTTACACTTCATCTTCATATTCCTTTGGTGGGGACACAGCAATAACAAGGTCTATCCAATCCTGTAAGAAAAATACAATACTTCTACATTTTGTAATAAAAAGATTTAAGTTATTGTTTAAAAAAATGCTTTTGGTGGCTATTTAATAAGCAAAAGGAGCCATATAGAGATCGGAAAGAAAGAGATTTTAACAGGCATTACTGATCTCAGTCAAGCAATGAAAATGGTGCAAAAATTAAAGTAAATCTCCTAAGAGTTAGGAATGGGAAAAATCTGCTGGTTGTTACCATAGATTGCTATCCAGTTAATTTCTGGAAGCCCATTAATCATGGCGATCAAGTGATGATATGATCCAGCTTCCCATGATGGTTGGTCAAATACTTTATCACACATCATATAGAAGCACAGAATGAGCTCAAAATTCAAGGATCTTCAATGGTACTTTAGAAGTTCTAATTCCCTTCTGACAGATTTATGGCACTACGGAACTATACTAAACAAAATACTGTTCAAACAGAGAAAAATATGGTCAGCACTAGATTTAGGGTGAAAGGTTATCTTTGTGCATTCGATCTTTATATTTGGTGCCTAGCACATACCCGAGCCATGAAGTCTATCCTTTCTGGAAACAACTGGGATATTGCTGCAATCAACCAAAGCAGCATATAGCACAAATTAATCCGAGATATTTTTGGCCAATGGACCTTAGCTAATTTTTACATGTCTTTGAGCTAACATACTGATAATTATTGGCATAATAATTAATTTTTTCATTCGAGAGCTGATTTTGCCTTCTATTTCAAAGCTCCAAATTTCAATTTGAAATCAATGGGCATGAGAATTGAGTGGATTTGAAGTATCTGCTTTATCATTAGCGAATAGATTCAAAATCCATTTCAATTTCTTTCCTGCTTGTGTTGAAATCCACCTGATTTGGATAAGAGACAACAATGAATAGCTATAGAGGTTATCAGCCAAATTAATATAAACCAGTGTGTACTCTTCCGATACTTTGTATCATGGAAGTTTCTATGGAATTGCTCAAGATCTAATGCAGGTGGGCTATACTCTTTCATTTTAAATTAGAAGCATTTCAATAAATAATCAAAGAGGGTAGATGATTTGATGTCAGTAATGACGAAAATGATAATAAATCAGAAGAAGGAATCAAAAATTGTAGAGATAGGAGTCATACAGATTTTTTTGATGTTTTTAAATGTTGAGACAATAAAGGAGGTATTTTCATGATAAAATCATTATTCATGAACTTTGGTTGTTAAGGGTTTCATTGTGTATTACCCAATAATGGATGTTGTTCAGGTCTTACTGCATATGGATGTTGACTATTTCAGAATCCAAGGTGTCATGAATGGTGCTGCATTTTGTGCAATCATCAGTAAACATTCCCATTTCTGACATTATATTGTAAGGAAGGCCATTGATGAAGCATCTGAAGATGGCCAGTTTTGAAGTCTGACCCATTTAGCTCAATAGTAGTGCCATACAACTAGCCATTGATTGGAGGAGTAGCTCCTTACCATTCCTTCCGTTCTATTTATTGGGATTATATTTCTCTGGCTGGTTGTCCCCATGAGTTTCCAGGTGATTTGGCAACATTCAAGGGCAGATTTATACACTGCCCTGTAATTTGAACACTGAATTTTCCTAGCTGAAAGCACTATTTAAATACAAGTTATTTTATCTCGCAGATAAAGCTGTTGTTTATTGTAGGTATGTTATCACCTGGACATTTAAAGCAACCAATCATTGGAGATTTTGAAAGCTCGGATTCAATAAAACCCATTAGTCAGAGAAACAGTTTTATTCTTTCACCATCTGTAACTTTTTCCACCACATTGTGTTCCACCTCACAAAAAACAGGCTGAAATCAATGTTCTTGTAGTCATTGGGAAAGTAGAACAAAAATACCCTCAGACCAATAATTTTTGCTGTCAGTAATGAGAATAAAAATGATTATAGATATTTCTGACTTGCTGCATGTTGCCTCTCATCTTTCTGCAAACACAATTGATCTTTTAAAAAGACAAGTGATTGATATTCAGTATGTAAATACAAGAATGTGTGTGAGATCCATACATAGGTGGAAATATATAGACTAGGGGACACATGGTCTCAGGAATGGAATGGGGAAGGTGGAAAGAAAGAATAAATGAGGTGGAAACAGTGAAAGACAAAAATCATCAGAATGATACAGCTATGAGAGTGGTGACTGACAAGCAGAGAAAGAAAAGGTGGAAAAATGAGACCAACTTAGGAGCTCAAGAAAGAATTAATGTGTGTAAGAAAAAAATTTGGAAGTATACAGTCTATTACGTACTATTATGCTTCTGACAATTTTACACATCTTACTCAATACAGGCAATGCTAAAGAAGAACTGCTAAGTATTGTGACAGACCTGCAAACAACATGTTGATCTAGACCTAGTGGTTAGTAGCAAAAGAATAACACTATCATTCATTATCTGTATTGTTGCCCAAAAGCCTCTCATTGGCTTTTGGCTGGTGATGTGATCACTAGGAATGTAATGCAGCACAGAATAATCTCCTAAAGATTGGGGTCTGTGAGAATCGGGTAAGCAATTAGTGTTTAACTAATCAGATCAAAGAGTTTTATTGAGTCACTCAAAGTCTAAACCAGGACATCCAGGAATATTAAAATCACTGTTAAGTCACATAAATGACACAAAATGAAGAAGGGAAAGAAAAATAATATTGAAAGTGAGATAGTGGGGACAAGGAAAGAGTTAATGAAACTACTTGTTTTAATGTGTTCCACAATAATCAGAATCTGAAGGAATGGGATTCCACACTTCTAAAAGTCAACCTTCGGTAGCATTTACATTTGAATGGGCTTGCCCTAACCTTCTCTTGTATGTTTAGTGGATATCTACTGGGTAATTTGAGAAATCACATACCGTTTTTTGTGCTTGACTGTCATGTCACTTCGTGAGATACCAACACTGCAAAGGCTGTGCAGCAAACGCAGGCTCAATCAGTAAAATATTACCTGTGTTAACTGTGGACACTAGAGGTTGCTGTCCAATTTATTTCTTAATAATCGGGAGCACTGATTGTCTAACTGTTACTTCTACCACAAAACAGGATAATAATAATTTGCATGCCTATGGCACCATAGCACAGAAAACATAATAAAACACATATTAATAATAAACAGACAATATAGCAAAAACCTGAGTATCCTACCACCCACTTCTTAACATCCCATCTTCCCCACCCGAAGGCAGGTTGTGTGAATCCAGCACTGGACAGTTTCACCACCTCAGGACACATATTTTACTTGATTTCATTTATTATTGTCATGTACCTGGGTACAGCGAAAAGTTTTGTTTTGCATGCAGTATAGGCAGATCATACCACACAAAGTACATAGGGTAATAGAACAGAACGAAGAATACAATGTTACCGCTGCAAAGAAGGTGCACAGAGAGCGAGATCAACATAAAATTTAAAATCTGAGAGGTCCATTCAGATGTCTAATAGTAGCGGGGAAGAAGTTGTTCTTGAATCTGTTCACACGTGTATCCAAACTTTTATATCTTCTGCCTGATGGAAGAGGGTGGGAGAGAGTATAACCAGAGTGGGAGGGGCCTTTGGTTATGGAATACTGGAGTGGAAGAAGGTTATTACTCAATCCTGAGGGACTACCTGAGAAGGTATATTTAAGCATGGAGAGAATATGCAGTATTAAATTTTTTAACATGCTTCACTGAAATGTAAAAGTAAAGACAGCTAAAGAAGATGTTAAGAAGAGTCACAAAGTTTTGGTAAAGAAATGCATGTTAATGGATGCTGGCGGTTATAAGCTAATGCAGGTCAGCAAGCTTGGAGGAGAAGGATGTTCAGGACAAAATAAAATATGGGAAATACTGTTTGGGAAACAGAGTGGGCACAGTTCGTGATTAAGAAAGGTATAGGTTTAGAAGCTCAATATATGTTGAGGATGTTTAAGTTGCAAATCATCTGGTTCAGTCTAAAACAATACCAATGCAGGAGTTTGAGTCATTCCTTGAATATGGAGCTTGTGGCAGGTTGCTAATAAAATGGCAATTGTTCTTCCCAATTTTCTGGTGCAGTTCCTCCATAACTCAATAATGAAGAAGCAATGTCGTTGTACAGACAGTGAAAAGATCACAAGGGCTGCACAGTGGTTAGCACTGCTACCTCACAGCACCAGGGACCCACGTTCAATTCCACCCTTGGGAGACTGTGTCTGTGGTTTGCACATTCTCCCCGTGTCTGCATGGGTTTCCTCTGGATGTCAGGTTTCTTCCCACAGTCCAAAGATGTGCAGGTTAAGTGGATTGGCCTTGTTAAATTGCTCACAGTGTCAAGGGATGTGCAGGTTATGTGGATTAGCCATGAGAAATGCAGAGTTATGGGGTAGGGTAGTGGGGTGGGCTGCTCTTCGATGGGTTGGTGTGGACTGAATGGCCTGCTTCCACACTGCAGGGATTCTATAATTCTAAGATGTGATGGTCAATTGGACATCAATGGTGTAAAATCAACTATATCTGAGGACAATGTGGGTAATTAGAGGTTTCTCAGGAGGATGTAAATAGTGATTGTTTTGCCTGAGGTCGATTAAAATTAGTTCTATTTTGGTCTTCCATTGAAAAATAGTACTGGATCACTTAATGGTCATACCCTAAAAAGTCTATTATGAGGGACATGCATACTTACACCACCACTATTCCAAGACTTTGCCAGTGTTGTCTGAGCTTCATGTAAGTTGGCATCCGTGAGTATCTTTCCATTGACAGCCATTATTTGATCTCCCTTCACTATTCCACCTGATGGAGACAGTTGGAAACATAACAAAGATAAGATTGAAGGAGAAAAAGCATAATCTATATCACTGCCATCACTGAATTTTTGCACCAGGTGAACAACACCTCTGCTCCGATTGTGTTTAACTAAGGTTTAAATTTAAATTGCACTCATAAGACACTGGCAGTTTAAGCAAGAAAGGAAACTATATGTCTTTTTTCTCCCATTGCCCTCTTGTACCATTCAATGAGATCATGGCCTCTCTGAGGTTTAACTTGTTAAAACTACTTTTACCTGATATCACTATATACCACTGGTTAACAAAAAAAAATCAATTTCAGTTTTAAATTTAGTTATGGATCGTTTGCTACATAAGAGAATTCCAAGCTTCTACCATCTTTTGCTTGTAGCAATTAACTTCTGATGTGTGTGGCTCTAACCTTTAGATTACCAATGTGCCTTCGAGACATGGGTTCCCAAGTAGTGGCAATAGTTTCTTTCTACTTAGTTGAAACTTAAAAATCAGCAATCAAATGACCCTTTAACCTTCTAAATTCTCAGGAATACTTGTATAATCTCTCCTAGTAATTTAACTCTTGAAGACTAGGAATCATTCTGAGAAAACTACTTAATCTTGTTCCAATAAATTTTTATACATTTAAGGGATATGGGCATCACTGGAGGGGCCAGCATTTGTTGGCCATCCTTAACTACCTTGCAGGCAGTCAAGAGTCAACCATGCTGCTGTGGGTCTAGAATCACATGTAGGCCAGACCAGGCAAGGACAGCAGTTTCCTCCCTAAAATGTGATGTGCAGAGCTTCTTATAGTACTCAAGAGGGTAAATTTTACAGGAGGACAGATTATCATCCTCCTGTCAGATTGCACCTTAATGATCTGATAGTTGGCTGCACCACAGCAATACTACATTAGGAGTGCCGTAATTAGAGTGTGTTTGTGTGTGTGTGTGCGCGCGGGGTGGGGGGGTAACTTCTGTTTCTCAGGCATTGGAAGTCCTGCTGTAGAAATCCGATAGCTAATCTGATTAGTCAGAAGCTCTGTAGTTTCAAAAGACATTTATGGCCACTACAAGGAGTCCCCACAAAAAAGTGAAGGTGTCTCAAGACTATGGGGAAGTTTGGGGATTTTGGCACATGTGATTGCAGACCCTCACATGGGAGGATAGAGCTGTGGAGGTGCAGTCAAGAGAGGAAATGGGGGAAGAAGGGATTAAAGGGGGAATATCATCATGGAAAAGTAGGCACAAGAGATATCCCCAGAGGAGGTATCCCCCCATCCTTGTACCCAACAACAGCCCACATTGTCAAACTCCTGGGCTGTCTGCTGTGTTTCCACCTTCCCCCACAGACAGAGAAATTCCAGCAAAGGAAGAATGAGGCCCTTAAGTAGCAGTTAATTACATAGTGTGGAGCTGGGAGGAACACAGCAGGCCAGAAGGTATCAGAGTAGCAGGAAAGTTAACGTTTCAGGTTGGGACCTTTCTTCAAAAACGGGGACAGGGGAAGGGAGCTCAGAAATAAATAGAGAGAGGAGGGGTGGGGCTGGGGAAGGTCGGTGGGATGCTGATAGGTGAGTGCAGGTAGGCAGTGGTGGGGATTGGTCAGTGAGGTAGGAAGAGCAGATAGGTGGGAGAGAAGATGGACAGGTTGTGTCAGGTCCAGGAGATGGGGATGAGAGGGAGGGTTGGACATGGGATGAGGCCGGGGGCGAGGAGATTTTAAAACTGGTGAATTCCATGTTTAGGCCATCAGGCTGTAGGCTACCGAGATGGAATATGAGATGTTGCTCCTTCAGTTTGCGGGTGGTGTCATTATGACACTGGAGGCCGCCCAGGATGGTGGAGAAAGCTGTGCTGGATGAGAGGTTGGTGGGGTGATATGTGAGGACAAGGGGGATTCTGTCTTTATTTTTGTTGGGGGGAGGGGTTTGAGGGTAGAAGGGCAGGAAATGCAAGAGATGCGGCTGAGGGCATTTTTTGATCACCAGAGGGGGGACGTTGCGGTCCTTGAAACAGAAGACATTTGGGATGTCCAGGAGTGGAACGCTCCATCTTGGGAAGAGATGTGTTGGAAGCGGAGGAATTGGGAATAGGGGATCACATTCTTGCAGGAGGATGGATGAGAGGATTTGCATTTCCCTTGCATTTCCTACACTTCTGCCCTCAAACCCCTCCCCCCACCAAAAATAAAGACAGAATCCCCCTTGTCCTCACATATCACCCCACCAACCTCTGCATCCAGCGTATCATTCTCCGCCACTTCTGCCACCTGCAATCTGACCCCACAACCAAAGATATATTTCCCTCCCCATCCCTATGTGCCTTTCGTAGGGACTGCTCACTCCCCACTAACCCCACTACACCCTCAGCACCTTTCCCTGCAACTGCAGGAAGTGCTACACCTGCCCCGACACCTCCCCTCTCACCTCCATCCAAAGCCCAAAGCAGGCCTTTCATATCAAATAAGGGTTCACCTGTACATCCATCAACTTGGTCTACTGCATTCTCTACATCGGTGAGACTAAGTGGAGACTCAGAGGCCTTTTTGTAGAGCATCTGCGCTCTGCATGCGACAAACGACAACACCTTCCGGTCGAGAACCATTTTAAATCCCCTTCCCATTCCCACTCCCACTCCCTGGGTGACATGTCCATCCTGGGTCTCCTTCAGTGTCACAATGACACCACCCACAAACTGAAGGAGCAACACCTCATATTCTGCTTCGGGAGGCTACAGCCTGATGGCCTAAACATAGAATTCACCAGTTCTAAAATCTCCCTACCCCCAGCTTCATCCCATGTCCAACCCTCTCTCTCATCCCCGCCTCCTTGACCTGACACAATCTGTCCACCTTCTCTCCCATCTATCCACTCCTCCCGCCTCACTGACCAATTCCCACCACTCCCTACCTGCACTCACCTATCACCATCCCACTTAGCTCTCCCAGCCCCATCCCTGCTCCCTATTTATTTCCCAGCTCCCTTCCTGCTCCCCATTTCTGAACAAGGGTCCCGACCCGAAACATCAACTTTCCTGCTCCTCTGATGCTGCCTGGCCTCAGCTCCACACTGTGTTGTCTCTGACTCCAGCATCTGTAGTTCTAGCTATCTCTAAGTAGCAGTTAATTGTTCACTTCTTGGTCTCAATTGCCCCAAGGGCAGCAGGGCTATCTGAAACCTTACCCATCCCTCATAACATGACCATAGGTAAGGGATTTTTGTTTTTAAAATTTTCCATGGGATTTGGGCATTGGTAGCAAGGCCAGGATTTGTTACCCATTCCTATTGATTTTGAACTGAGTAGCTTGCCAGACCATTACAGAGGGCAGTTAAGAATCAAACACAATGTGGATCTGAAGTGGATATATGGCATAGACCAGGAAAACAAGAATTCAAACTGATCAGGGAGTGGTGGAAGAGCAAAAGCTGGCCAGCAGCAGGAAGACATTAGTAAAGGAGTATGTTATCTCACTCTCATACTTGCAGCCAAAGCTTAGAAACAAACTCTATGCATATTTAGGACAATTGTTTAGAGGAGGGATCAGCATGTAGTGTGAGACACAGATCAAGTTGCCTGCAACCAGGGGAAGTGATAAAGATAACAAATACCAGCCCAACACTGGAGGACGTAGTCACTCGAATTATGCTGCATAGGACTCAGAAGAGACTTTGATAGAAGAAGGCTGATGGGACTGCACAGTTAAATTCTTAGTGTAAAAGGCCCTCTTGTGGTGTGGTAGTAGTGATCCCACTCCTGAACCGACAAACCTGGATTCAAATCCCACCTGCTCCAGAGGTGTGTAATAAGATCTCTGAACAGGTTGATTAGAAAAATAGATAAAACGCTCAGTGCGTTGGCTTACCAGAAAGACTACAGTCAATGCCATAGAACATGGAGAAATCTGGCACTTACTTGATACAGGATTTTGAGCAGAGCCTGGAGCCCATTTATTTTAGATGATATTGGAAACTAACTCTTGATGTGATGGTTGGTGTCTCAGTTTCTATTGCAGCACAAGTGAAGCTAATCAACATCTCATTGTTGAGGTTGAGATTCAGGCTGCGATATTGCAAGGCCAGCTTGCTGTCCCAGAAACCCATAGCCGTTTATTGTAGCTAAGGATACAAATACTCAAAATGGTCTGCAGTGTGGAAAGCAGCTCAGGAATCTGTCCTCCAATGCCTCACTAGGATTGCTACTGCTACACCTTGGAATGAGCAGTGGCTTCATGGAGCATGAACCTTCTCAGGATGATAGCATTCATGTTTCCATCACTGTCATTCTACCAAAGCCTTTGCAGATTCTCCTCAGCTAGCTAGCCTAGCCTGCTGCCAATCCTGCCAAGGTGACACAATCTAAAGCTCAGCTTCTCCTTTAATAGCTACATAAGATTGTCTTGCAAAGTCATCTGTAGCTTCATGAATGGAGTCTTCAGCCTTCTACTAACTATGTTGGAGCCACTAGCATAACTTTACACTGGGACTACAAGGGAGGTAAAAGCACCTTCACTTTGGCAGCATAAATAGGAAGGCATATTATTATTTGAATGGCTGAAAATTGAAGGAAGGGAATATTCAACAAGACCTGGGTGACCTCATGCACTAGTGGCTGACAGTCTGCATACACAGACAGCAGGCAGTGAAGAAGGTAAACTGTATGTTGACTTTCACAGGGAGACAATTTGAGCACAAAAACAAGGGTGTCTTCTGCAATTATACAGGGCACTGGTGAAGCCACACCTGGAATAGTGTGTGCAGTTTTGGTCTCCTTATCTAAGGGAAGATGTTTTTTGCTGTGGGGCAAGAAGGTTTATCAATTTGATTGCTGGGATGGCAGGATTGACATATGAGAAGGTGGGACGGTTAGGACTCTATTTGCTGCAGTTTAGAAGAATGAGAGGAGAGGGGAACGGGGGTTTAAGGAAACCTATAAAATTCCAACAGGACTAGACAGGTTATATACAGAAAGGAAGGATGGTCTTGATGGTGGGAGAGTCCAGAACCAG